TGTGGGGGGGCGGGGCGGTGTGGGGGGGGCTGGGGCGGTTGTGTGAGGGGGCGGGTCGGTGTGTGGGGGGGCGGTGGGCCGTGTTGTGTGAGGGGGCGGGGCGGTGTGTGGGGGGGCGGGGCAGGTTGTGTGGGGGGGCGGGGCGGTGGGTGGGGGTGGGGCGGGGCGGGTGTGAGGGGGAGGGGCGCTGTGTTGAGGGGGCGGGGCGTGTGTGTGGGGGGGAGTTGGCGGTGGTTGGGGGGCGGGCGGTGTGTGGGGGGGCGGGGCGGTGTGTGTGAGGGCGGCGGGGACGGTGGGTGGGGAGGCGGGGCAGGTTGTGTTGGGGGGGGCGGGGCGGTGTGTCGGGGGGGCGGGGCGTGTGTGTGTGGGGGGGCGGGGCGGTGTGTGAGGGGGGCGGGGCCCCCCCCCCCGGTTGTTGTGAGGGGGGGGGGCGTGTGTGGGGGGGCGGGCGGTGTGTGGGGGGGCGGGGCGGTTGTGTGGGGGGGCGGGAGCTGGGTGGGGGTGGGGTGGAGGGGGCGGTGCGGTGGGAGGGGGTGGCAGGTGTGGGGGCGGGTCGTTGTGAGGGGGCGGGGCTCGGGTGGGTGAGGGGGGGGGCGTGGGTGAGGGGACGGGGGCGGTGTTGTGGTGGGGGAGGGGGGCGGGGGTGGGTGGGGAGGGCGGGGCGGTGGGTGGGTGGGTGGGCGGCGGCGGTGGGTGGGTGGGGGTGCGGTCGTTGGGGGGGGGGGGAGCGGGGCGGTGGGTGGGTAGGGGGGGCGGGTCGGTGGAGTGGGTGGTGGGGGCGGGGCGGTGGGGGCGTGGCGGGGGCGGGAGGCGGCGGTGGCGTGGGTGGTGGGGGCGGGGCGGTGGGTGGGTGGGGGGAGGGGCGGTGGGTGGGTGGGGGGTCGGGGGGCAGGTGGGTGGGTGGGGGGGCTGGGAGGTGGGTGGTTGGGGGGGGGGCGGGGGTGGGTGGGGGGGGGGGCGGTGGGTGGGGGGGGCGGGGGCGGGGTGGGTCGGGGGGGCGGGGCGGTGGGTGGGTGGGCGCGGTGGGTGGGTGGGGGGGGGGGCGGTCGGGTGGGTGGGGGGGGGGGCGGTTGGGTGGTGTGGGGGGGGGGGCGGTGGCGTGGGTGGGGGGGGGGGGCGGTGGGTGGGTGGGGGGGCGGGGCGGTGGGTGGGTGGGGGGGCGGGCGGGGGGTGGGTGGGTGGGGGCGGGGCGGTGGGTGGGTGGGGGGGCGGGGCGGTGGGTGGGTGGGAGGGCGGGGGCGGTGGTGTGGGTGGGAGGGCGGGGCGGTGGGTGGGTGGGGGGGCGGGGCGGGTGGGTGGGTGGGGGGGCGGGGCGGTGGGTGGGTGGGGGGCGGGGCGGTGGGTGGGTGGGGGGGGGGCGGTGGGTGGGTGGGGGGGCGGGGCGGTGGGTGGGTGGGGGGGCGGGGCGGTGGGTGGGGGGCGGGGCGGTGGTTGGGTGGGGGGGCGGGGGCGGTGGGTGGGTGGGGGGGGCGGGGCGGTGGGTGGTGGGGGCGGGGCGGGGGGCGGGGGTGGGTGGGGGGCGGGGCGGGGCGGTGGGGTGGGTGGGGGGGGGGCGGGGCGGTGGGTGGGTGGGGGGGCGGGGCGGTGGGTGGGTGGGGGGCGGGGCGGTGGGTGGTGGGGGGGCGGGGCGGGGCGGGTGGGTGGGGGGGCGGGGCGGGGCGGGGCGGGTGGGTGGGTGGGGGGGCGGGGGGGGGGCGGGGCGGGGCGGTGGGTGGGTGGGTGGGGGGGCGGGGCGGGGCGGTGGGTGGGTGGGTGGGGGGGCGGGGCGGGGCGCGGGGCAGTCGGCGCATGCGCACTGCTCCCGTCTCCTGGTCGTCGCTGGGCCTCTCCGTGTTCCCGCCTGCGTCGTCGTCGTCGCGGATACGAGGAGGAGGAGGAGGAGAAAGACGCGGTCGCCCGCGACATCCCGCCATGGACATCCCGCAGCCTCCCGACGGTGAGCGGCGCCGTGAGAAACCCGCCCGAGAAAGGGAGCGGGGAGCGGGCGGGGGGGGGGAGGCAACGGTGGTGCCAGGCGACGGCCAGGCGCAACTTGGTTAGACTAGGCCGCGTTTCTTGGGTTTCCAACGCAGGCGATTTCAAATGACAAAATCGATTTTTGCGGATAGTTTTATTCACGAACTGAATGTCCTCTCCTGTGTGGGTTTTTTTGTTAAATTGCCAGTGGTGTCTTCCCAACGAATGGCTTCATTATCAAGGTGGGAAGAGTGGCGTGCAAGTGATCACACAGAGGTGCATGCAGCTCCTGAAGGGATATCAACGACACGAGATAGGCGATGGGACCTACCCAGATGGCAGCATGCCTTGGTCCTCCTCACTCGGTGTCCCTCCCTCACTCGGTGTCCGTCCCTCCCTCACTCGGTGTCCCTCCCTCCCTCACTCGGTGTCCCTCCCTCCCTCACTCGGTGTCCCTCCCTCCCTCACTCGGTGTCCCTCCCTCCCTCACTCGGTGTCCCTCCGCCCCGTGTCCTCCGTGCAGACCAGGAGCAGAGAAACATCATCGACAAGCTGGCGCAGTTTGTGGCGCGCAATGGGCCCGAGTTTGAGAAGATGACCAAGCAGAAGCAACGCGACAACCCCAAGTTCGCGTTCCTCTTCCGCGGAGAATACTTCAACTACTACCAGTACAAGGTCACCACGGAGCAGCAGAGTGAGTGTAGCAAACACGCTCATTCACCACCCACACCAGCACCACCACCACCACATGCAGTCGTGTCCACACTGTGGTGGTTGTAGTCGCCTCTTGCCGTCTGCTCAGTGCACGCAACCATACTCGCATGTATGCGCATGCACGCGCACATAGAGATGTACGTATACATGTACACCAAAACACGCGGGCATGCATTGACACATGCACACAACATGCATGAACACAACAACAACCGCCATTCGCCACTAAGTGGCGGTGACGTCACCACGACGCTTGTGCCAGGCCATGTGCACCTTGAGGCCACGTGAAGTGTCGAACGCCCGCTGGCAGGTCACGGGGCAGGCCCAGGTGCCACGGGTCGACTGAGATGACCGAGATGACTGGCTGATGCACCACCTGTGCCCCCTACTGTGCCAACATTAACACACACACGAATACTAGCAAACATGTGTACACACAAGTTGTCACAACATGCACACACTAACACACAAATTCAAACAATTGCACATGTCACACATACAAGCACAAACAAGCAAACACTCTTCACACGTATGCATGTGTATACACTTGTGCGCCCTCACAAACACGCGCATGTGATCTTGACTGCACACAGTCCTGAAGCAGCAGCAGGCACGCATGGCTGGCGCCTCGGGCCAGCCGGTCTCTCTGCACCAGGCGCTGGTGCAGCAGTCGCTGCAGACGGCGCCCTGGCAGCAGGGCCAGGGCAGCCCTGGGGGGCAGCAGCAGCAGCTCCCGCCCTGGCAGCAGGACAACGCTCAGCCCCAGCTCCCGCCGTGGCAACAGCCTCAGGTACTGTCATGCATCCTGGGGGCACGGCCGCCGTGTGTGTTGCGTGCACACCTTGGCTGCGTTGGGTCCGCCTTGCCTACTGTGGGACAGGAGATGCGGGTGCTGAGTTTTAATTATTGTGTGTGTTATGTAACAAATTATACGAAGCACAAATGCAGGTCCGCCTGTGGAAGAGGAGTCTTGAGACTCGGTGAGGTGTTCAAATAAGTAATGTTGCTAAGTCAGGCATCACAGTGGCCATATGTATATCGGTTTCTTTTCAATACACATATCGCTGTTGCGAATACATCGGAGTGAGAAGGAACATCAAAACCAGGATTATAAAACAAATGACAATCTCCTTCGTCTCCGTGTTCATGTCCTTGCAGGGCCAAGCCAGCCCCGGGCAGCAGCAGGCCTTGCCGCCCTGGCAGCAGCCTCAGCCGCAGCCCGACCCGGTGCTGCCCCCGTGGCAACAGCCTGCTGCCCAACCGCTGCCGTCCGCTGCCCTCCAGGGCCTCCCGCCCTGGCAGCAGCAGGGACCCGACCCCGTGCAGCCGTCGCTGCCCCCCTGGCAGCAGCAGCAGCAGCAGCAGCAGCAGCCCCTGATGCCGGCGCAGCCGCAGATGCCTGTGGTCCCCTCTCAGGTGTGAACCGGGCTTGTGATGACGCGATGATAAAACATCTTTGCGCGATGGGAATGTGTTTAACACGTAGGCTTTCTCGACCAAGCAGTAACTAAACGGCACGTGTTGTTTACGTGACGAACCTTGCTAATTGGCTGTGTCGGGTGGTGGCGGGTTTAACGACACATTGATATTTACGTGATCTGACCCAGCGAAAACTCTGTTATGGATGGAACCGCGTGCTCGTCGATTGCACGTTCATCTTCCGTGGGGTGGTGGTGGCGATGTGAGCTCGTCCTCAACGCTGTCGTTACCGTCGTCGTTGTGGACGCCCGGTAGGGTGGCGCCCCGCCAGTCGCGGGCCCCGACGGACCGTTCAACGCCGGCCCGGTGGCGCCCGGTGGCCGCATGGTCCCCAGCCCGCAGCATGTGCAGGAGCAGATCCAGCAGAGCCTCGCCAACTTGCAGCAACAGCAGCAGCACCTCCTGCAGCAGCAGCAGGTGAGGGGGGCCAGCAGGTGACCCTGGTGCTGAGCGAGTGGTGCGTGTGAAAGTCGGCAACGATGAGCAGGGTTGCCATGCAACAGGATGGTGCAGATTCGTCTTGTTGCTGAAGGGTTGTGTCGCTATGCAACAGGAAGGTCCTGATGAGTAGTGTTTGCCGTGCAATAGGGAGGTGTTGACGGTGAGTGTTCCTATGCAACAGGGAGGTAATAATTGGTAGCATTGCTATGCAACAGGGAGGTACTGATGGATAGTTTTGCTTGGTAACAGTTGAGCTAATCGGAAATATTGCTGTGCAACAGGGAGGTGCTGACAAAGTGTTGCCATGCAACAGGCTGGCGAGGGTTGCTGTTTCCGCAGCAACGGCGCATGAGCGTCCCCACGGTAACGGTGTGCGTTTGCCGCCCCGCGTGACGCCAGGAGCAGATGGAGGCGGCCGTGTGTGCGGCCCAGGAGGCGCGCGTGCGCGCAATGGCCGCCGAGGCCCAGCTCAGCCTGAGCGACCTGGACGGCCTCCTGCAGCCGATCATCGACACGTGCACTAAGGACGCCATCTCTGTATGGCACCTCACCCCTCCACCAGCACCAACAGCGTTGATTGAGCAGTCTATTGTGTGTGTGCACGAGATGGTTTTGGTATGTGCGTAATGGCGAACACAGCGTGCGTTTCTTGAGACGGTGATTGTGTCTGTGTGACGGTTTTTGGGTGTGGTTGTGAATGTGTTTAATGTTGTTAGTGCGTGACGATGTGTGTGTGTGTGATTAGTGTTGGTTTGTGAAAATGATGTGTCACGGTGTTGGTGTGTGATGCTGTGTCCAACGGTATTGATGTGTGATGCAATCCGTGTGACAATGTGTTAGTGGTGGTGTGTGTGTGTGATGATGCGTGTCAATGTTTGCGGATGATGGTCTGCATGTCACGGTGATGGTGCGATCGTATGTTAGCGACGGTGACGTTGCATGCGACGGTGATGTGACGGCGGCGATGACTTCTCGCGTGCGCTGCATGCAGACCGGCAAGACGTGGATCTTCTCAAACGCCAAGTCAACGGGGGTGTGCGAGGCGCTGGCCGAGTACCTGCGCTGGAGGATCGTGCGTCCGGGCTCCAGCTTCGAGCTACGCCTGCACCTCATCTACCTCATCAACGACGTTCTGCACCACTGGTGATTGCCGTGCCTGCCCCATTGCCCCGTTGCCCCCCCCCACCCCCTTGCATCCATGCCAGAGGTCGCAAACGGGTTTTGATTCCTTACCCGTACCCGGCCACACTAGGGTCGCAAACGGGTACCCGTACCCGGCCGTACCCTACCCGTACCCGGCCGGGTACGGGTAGGGTACGGGTAGGGTACGGGTATCCGATTGCGACCTCTGGGATGAAGCCATGTTGCAGGCGCGGGTGGGTTGATTCTAGGAACTTGAATTGTGAGAAGAGACGAGACGTTGGGAATTGAGTGACAAACGGTGACTCACCAGTGACTCACGGTTTACCCGTACCCGGCCGCACCAGGGTCGCAAACGGGTACCCGTACCCAGATGGGTACGGGTAGCCGGGTATCGGGTAGGGTACGGGTATCGGGTACCCGGTTGCGACCTCTGATCCGTGCTAACCGCAGGGTTGCGTTGAAGGCGACTCCGTGTTTGTGGTCCACCGCCACGCTCGGTGCTTTTTGTCTTGTTCGGTCAGGTGGCTCTTTCCACTGCAGAACGCGAGCCGTGCCCCGTGAACAAAACTAAAAACTAAAACTATTAATTTACCAGGTCAGGCCCACTTGCGCTATATAGCTCTTTTTCAGAAACAACCTGGCCACAAATGATACCTCAATGACGTGGCTTACCACGTGGAATTTTATAGCAGCCAAACGCATGTTTCTAAATGTGCTGAGAAAAGCAGAGGACCTGGAGAAAATTCCACGCGACCTACGGGGGAGAAAATGCAAACTCCAAATGTACAGCAGGGGTCGAGGTCGCGATCGCCACCGTGGGGTCCCGTCGCACGCGGCTCACCCTGGTCCTGCTTGGCCTGAGCCACCAGAGTTTTCACGACTTCAGTTGGAACTCGGTTGTGCAAACAGCCAGGGGAAAACAATCCTCACCACGAGCACGACTCGGATATGTAAGTGGGACTTGTGTAGCATGGCGTAGATTTTAAGCATGCGACGAATTCATCTTCTTGGTTCTTTCGGTAAAGTCACGTAGAAGGGAAATAATAAAATAATAAATATCAAACATAATAAAACATAATTCTCACGACGTTTCAGCCACAACGCAAGCAGCCGTCTTCAGGTGAAGAACAGGTCTGTCGGAAAGACAAGCTTGGTGGTGTTCTTTCGGACGCTGTCTTTCCGACAGCCCTGTTCTTCACCTGAGGACGGCTGCTTGCGTTGTGGCCAAAACGTCGTGAGAATCGTATTTTATTATGTTTTATTATTATTATTTTATTATTTCCCTTCTACGTGACTTTACCGAAAGAACCAAGAAGATGAATCCCTGCAGTCACGAAAGCTTTACATCGAAATGCAACGAATTGTCGCTATTTGGGGGTCAAAATTAAATCCGGGAACTGATCCTGTTTGGTCCCGTCTTTGCCGGCTCATGTGTACTTGCGGTTGCGTGTGGTTGCGCGGAAGCAGCCAGCGCAAGCAGGCGCAGGAGCTGCAGGTTGCACTGCAGCAGGTGGTGGTGCCCATCTTCTGCATGGCCATCTCCGGCGTAGAGGAGGAGAAACAGCAGAAGCTTACGAAGGTACGGGCTGTGCGAGTGAGTGAGTGTGTGCGTTGTGTATGAATGTGTTAGGTGTGTGCACGTTGTGTGTGTGTGTGAGCACGAAAACCCGAGTTCGGTTGCTGCTCGCGACAAACAGCAGCGGCGAATATCTGAACCGGTCCTGGGCCTCCTTTAGGTCAACTCGGCCTTGAAAACGAGTAGCTGGAGTTGTGTGAGACGTCGCCACTGGGGAGACAAAGTTGGCTGGGCGTAGTGCGAGCCACGCCACCCCTCCGTGCGCCGTGTTCTTCATAGGTGCACGCGTACAGCACTTGCCTCAAGAGTCTGTTAAGGCTATACGGGGGATCTTTGTCTTTTTGTGAGTGTTCGTTGCATTGTTGTGCTGTGTTACCGTGCCGGTTTGACGCTGCCTTGCATCTTTCCATGTGCTGCTGTGTTGATGCTACTTTGTGCTCCTGCTATGCGCCGGTGTGCCATGTCTTTGTTGTGTGTCCGTACGTTTCCGTGTGCTGCGGCTCTTTATGTTACCGTCTGTGTCCTGGTTATGTCCGTGTGTTTGCGTCGCTTTGGCGCTGTGTGTTCTATTGCCTCCACCGTGTTCCCTCGGTTGACGACTTCCCCGTGTGTGTGTGTGTGCGCAGCTGCTGCAGCTGTGGGAGAAGAATCGCTACTTTGAGGACAGCATCATCGGACAGCTGAAAAACCCAGGCCCGAGCCTTGCGCAATACAAGGCAAGCACTCCTCCTCATTCTTATCCCTGCATTCGTCTTCAAGGCTTGTTAATGTTACCTTACCGTCGGTTAACATGTGCCATGTGTCCTGAGTGTGCTGTTTGTCCTGTGCCTGTCACGTGACCCGTGTGTCCCGTGTGACTTGGGTGCAGTGTGTCCCTTGTCATGTGTCCTCCGCCTTGTCACTTGACCCATATTTAAATCCAATTTACAATTGACCCACCTGCTTGTCATCTGTCCCGCGTGCCTTGTACCCATCATGTAACTTTTGCCTGTCGCGTGAGCCGTGTGTGCTGTTTGTCACATGACCCGTATCTACAGCATGTCCCTCGCCTGTCACATGACCCCGTGTGTCCCTTCACCCACATCTCCCCCCCCCGCGGGCTGCAGACGGCGCTGATGGCGGAGTACGCGTCGGTGGTGGCGCCCGTGCAGCTGGCCGTGCAGCAGCAATTCCGCACGCTACAGATGCAGCACCAGCAGTTTGTGGACCACCTCACCTCCATGCAGCCGCACCTGCCGCCGGCGCTGGTTAGTGCAGGGGGAGTCGGCGGGGGGTGAGAGGGCTGGTGTCGTCATCTCACGACACCGCTGGGAAGGACGGCTGTGTTGTAACGGGCTTGTCGGTGCACTGGAGCGACGCGTGTTAGATCCGGGATTCAGACCCTGTCTGTTTCCCGCTGTAGGTTCATAATGACTGTGGGCTCAAATCCAGGCAAGCGCTGGTGGTTAAACTGTGATCACTAGTGTAGCGAGTGGTGGTCTCAAGCCTGTTAGAAGTGACCGCACTGTTCCCGTGTGTCCCCGTGCGTTCCCTTCGCTGCTGCTTTGGTCGCCAGGGCGTGCAGCCCACGGGGCAGCCGGGAGCCACGACCCAGGCACCTGTGGGGCCAGTTACCACACAGCCTCCCACCTCTTCGCAGGGAGGTGAGCTCACGCACTCGCTCACTCACGCACTCGCTCGCTCACGCACACACTCGCACGTACACTACGGAATGGCTCGCGACCTAAATAACTTGAAGTGATGCAAGTCATCTCACTGTGCCCCCCCCCCCTACTACATGCACTCTGGGCTCCAAGGCTTTCTTTCGAAACCCGCGGTCAACCTTGGCTCGGTGGGGAGGCCACTCATTCTACTCTGCTGCTTCTGCACTCTGGAACTTGCTTCCCCCACCCATCAGTGCTGTCAACTCCCTGCCCCCTGTTCCAAGTCCAGGCTTGAGGCCTTCTTCTGCCTCTGACTGGTCGCCTGTCCATTAAATAAACACTGCCGCTGTTTCCTCACAGCGTCTGGAGATGCGGTGGCATTTGGACGTCGCTACATGAGTCCACGTTGTCACCGTATATTTAGTCGCAGGCGTCTGGTATCATTGGTCTGATATCACCGCGAGGTCTGATCCTTCGCGTGCGCTATCGCCGAGTCCCGTGGCTCTGGGTTTCCTTGTCGCTGATGTTCGACGGCGCTGCGATGTGACGCGCGTCTGACAGGGGGGGCCTTCCAAGCGCCGGTCGTGTCGGGACCTGGGCCGGGGGGCCCTATCGGATCGGGGGGCCCCCCTGAAGCCATCCCTCCCGTCGGCGCTGAGGGGCACCACCCCTCTGCCTTCCCTTCCTCGCAACAGGGGCCACCGCAGCAGCAGCAGCAGCAGTCACAGCAACAGCAACAATCACAGCAGCAGCAACAGCCTCCCTGGAACAACCAGCAGGTGGGATGATCTGCTGTTGTGTGTGAGTGTGCTGCCTCTGTGTGTGTCTGCTGCTGCCTCTGTGTGTGTCTGCTGCTGCCTGTGTGTGTGTCTGCTGCTGCCTCTGTCTGCGTGCTGCCTGTGTGCGTGCTACCTGTGTGTGTGCTGCCTCTGTGTGTGTGTCTGCTGCCTGTGTGTGTGTGTCTGCTGCATGTGTGTGTGTGTGTCTCTGTGTGTGTGTCTGCTGCCTCTGTGTGTGTGCTGCCTCTGTGTGTGTGCTGCATGTGTGTGTGTCTGTGTGTCTGCTGCCTCTGTGTGTCTGCTGCATGTGTGTGTCTCTGTGTGTCTGCTGCCTGTGTGTGTGTGCTGCCTGTGTGTCTGCTGCCTCTGTGTGTGTGCTGCCTGTGTGTGTGTGCTGCCTGTGTGTGTGTGTGTGCTGCGTGTGTGTGTGTGTGCTGCCTCTGTGTGTGTGCTGCCTGTGTGTGTGTGTGCTGCCTCTGTGTGTGTGCTGCCTCTGTGTGTGTGCTGCCTGTGTGTGTGTGTGCTGCCTGTGTGTGTGTGCTGCCTGTGTGTGTGTGTGCTGCATGTGTGTGTGCTGCCTCTGTGTGTGTGTGCTGCCTCTGTGTGTGTGTGTGCTGCCTCTGTGTGTCTGCTGCATGTGTGTGTGTGCTGCCTCTGTGTTTGTGTGTGTGCTGCCTCTGTGTGTGTGTGCTGCCTGTGTGTGTATGCTGCATGTGTGTGTGTGTGTATGCTGCCTGTGTGTGTGTGTGCTGCCTCTGTGTGTATGCTGCCTGTGTGTGTGTGTGCTGCATGTGTGTGTGCTGCCTCTGTGTGTGTGTGCTGCCTCTGTGTGTGTGTGTGCTGCCTCTGTGTGTCTGCTGCATGTGTGTGTGTGCTGCCTCTGTGTTTGTGTGTGTGCTGCCTCTGTGTGTGTGTGCTGCCTGTGTGTGTCTGCTGCATGTGTGTGATTGTGTCTGCTGCATGTGTGTGTGTGTGTGTGCTGCCTCTGTGTGTGTGTGTGCTGCCTCTGTGTGTGTGTGCTGCCTGTGTGTGTATGCTGCATGTGTGTGTGTGTGTATGCTGCCTGTGTGTGTGTGTGCTGCCTCTGTGTGTATGCTGCCTGTGTGTGTGTGTGCTGCCTGTGTGTGCTGCCTCTGTGTGTGTGCTGCCTCTGTGTGTGTGCTGCCTGTGTGTGTGCTGCCTCTGTGTGTATGCTGCCTGTGTGTGTGTGTGCTGCCTGTGTGTGTGTGTGCTGCCTGTGTGTGTGTGTGTGCTGCCACTGTGTGCTGCCTCTGTGTGTCTGCTGCCTGTGTGTGCCTGCTGCCTGTGTGTGTGTGTGTGCTGCCTCTGTGTGTGTGTGTGCTGCCTCTGTGTGTCTGCTGCCTGTGTGTGTGTCTGCTGCCTGTGTGTGTGTGTGTGTGCTGCCTGTGTGTGTCTGCTGCCTGTGTGTGTGTGTCTGCTGCCTGTGTGTGTGTGTGTGCTGCCTCTGTGTGTGTGCTGCCTGTGTGTGTGTGCTGCCTCTGTGTGTCTGCTGCCTGCGTGTGTGTGTGTGCTGCCTCTGTGTGTGTGTGCTGCCTGTGTGTGTGTGTCTGCTGCCTGTGTGTGTGTGTGTGCTGCCTATGTGTGTCTGCTGCCTGTGTGTGTGTGTGTGCTGCCTCTGTGTGTCTGCTGCCTGTGTGTGTGTGTTGCCTCTGTGTGTGTGCTGCCTGTGTGTGTGTGTGCTGCCTCTGTGTGTCTGCTGCCTGCGTGTGTGTGTCTGCTGCCTGTGTGTGTCTGCTGCACGTGTGTGTGGCAGTTAGCACGCTGCACTATGAACCTAGCGACCCGAGTTCGATTCCCGCTGACGGCTAACACCAATGACAAATTTCTGAACTGGCCCTTGGCCTCCGCAAAGTCGATTCGGCCTCGAACTAGTACCTGGTGCAATGGGTAAACATCTCCGCTCGGAAGACGACGGTGGCCGGGCGTGGTGCTGGCCACCCACCCCCTTGAGTGCCATGCCGGCCTTCATAGGTGCTCGCTAACAGCACTTGCCCCTACGGTCCGTTAAAGGCTACACGGGAGATCTTTGTCTTGTGTGTGTGTGTGAGCTGTAAGTTAAACTAATGTTGTGTGCAGGGGCAGCAGGGGGCGCCGTGGGCTGCCAACCCCCCCAACTTCAGGGCCCCTCACCCTGGCGCCTTCAACCAACCCCCCCTCAACTTCCCACCCGGCCCCCCCCCAAACATCTCTTACGATTACCAGCACGGCTCGCACCAACGTACGTACGCACGCACCCACACGCACACATACGCACACACACTTGCGTGCAGCCCCAATAGGCGTGTCGCCAGACTCGGCCGGTCTTGTTTGAAACACGGCCAACATCGGCGGCTGTTGGAGATGGTGCTGGGCCTCCTCAACGGTCTAAATGAACACCTGGTGTAGCGTGTAAACATCATCATTGGGGAGACAGAGGTGCTAGCCACAACAGGTGCTGACTAACATAATTTGCCCAGAGGCATTTAGATAAACACAAAGATTACCTCTACTTGTGCCCAGCTAAGGGCACTTAGAAAAGACAAGCCTCTTGCACAGAAGACCTATCTTTAGATAATCGCGTGTGTGGGTATCAACGTGTCCGTGTGTTGCAGGAATTGGACCCCCACCCAGCTTCCACCACCCGCCCGGCATCCCCCCGATGGGGATGGAGTACCAGGCCCCGGCAGGACCCCTCCCGGCGCCGCCGCCGCCGCCCCCCCCTCCCCACAACATGGCGCCCGACTTCACGAAGCCCCCTCCAGGCTTCCCCAACATCCCGCCGCCGCCCGTGGGCACGCAGGCCGCCGCCGCTGCCGCGGCCGCCGCCGCGGCCGCCGCCACCGCCCCGGAGCCCGGCGTCGACCCCAACGACCCCACGCTGCTACCCACGATGCCCTACTACGAGCTGCCCGCCGGCCTTATGGCTCCGCTCGTCATGGTGGGTGTGGGATAGAGGGTCGTTGTGCGCGTCGCACTCGTGGACGAGCGTGGGTCAGGGCGCGTGCTGGACGCCCGCTGATTCTGGAACCATCTCTGGTCTCGCACGACACCCCGCCGCTAACCCTTGACCCCCGTGCGATCCCACAGCTGGAGGAGACGGAGTACCGTCCCCTCAACCCCAAGGACATCCGTCTGCCCCCCCCGATGCCGCCCAGCGACCGCCTCCTGGCCGCCGTGGAGGCCTTCTACAGCCCGCCGTCGCACGAGCGTCCGCGCAACAGGTAAGGGTCTCCCAGGGCCGCCACGTGGCCTGCCGCCACGCCGTCTCCCTCGCTCCGTCGTGCGCACTCTCGGCCTAGTTCAGGGCGCGAGAGCTGATTCGGCTGCTCCCCCGAAGACTTGCTGGCCTGGAAGCCGTGTGCTTAGCCAAGCCCTTTCATTATCACCGTCATTGTAGACATCATCACGAATATGGCCATCATTGTCTTCATTGTTAGGCATCTTCAGCTTAAAGCAGAGGTCGCCAACGGGTTTTGATTCCTTACCCGTACCCATACCCGGCCGCACCAGGGTCGCAAATGGGTACCCGTACCCGGCCGGGTACGAGTAGCCGGGTATCGGGTAGGGTACGGGTATCGGGTACCCGATTGCGACCTCTGGCTTATAGACCCTTCTCTGCCCCTGTGTGCCGAGATGTGCATGTCGTTCTTAATTGTGCAGCGTCTCGAAATGCAGCCGCATCCCTTTTGCGCTCTGAATATAAATCGGGTTCTCTTGCGGACTGCAAAAGTGGCAGCACAAGTCTCAACAGGCAGCCTTGTCACTGCGTTTGCAGATGAACTTGCGTGACACTTGGGACACGTGCAAGAAGATGCTGTCCCCTTTGTCGGGCGATGCCGTGAACTGGTTGGTGGTGTGATGGGGAGACGGGGCGCCACGCTGGCGAGATGTTAACTACCTCGCCGGCTTTACCAGAGGTCGTGGGTTCGATCCCAATCCTCACGCCTGCTGTATACATATTGGAGTTTGCGTGTTCTCCCCGTGGTCGCGTGGATTTTTCTCCGGGTCCTCCGGTTTTTCCCTTCACATTTACAATCGGCATGCGTTTTTGTAATATATTGGCTGCTACAAATCTCCACATGACGATAATCCACTTTGTTGAGCTATCATTGGTGATAGGCAATTGGCTTCCGAAAAATACCTATTTCTCTCAGTTTGGCCATACCTGGTAAAATCTTAAAATAGTTTTAGACGGTGGGCAGTGCGACGATGAGTCGGCGGCGCCGGCGTTGATGCCGATGCCCCCGGCGCGCGGGCGATTTGCTAAGCGTGAGCGGTGCGCGCCGCGGTGTCTGTGCGATGCCAGCAGTGAGGGCTGGGAACAGAACGGCCTCTACGAGTACTTCCGAGCCAAGATGCGCGCGCGCCGCCGGCGCGAGGAGCGTCTCCACCGCCGCGGGTGAGTTCCCTCACCCCCCCCGCACCCACCGCCGAAACGCTGTAACGTGGCGCGTCTCTATTACCTGTGGCACGCACACCCCTCCCCGGCGGTACGCGAGTGTGTGCGTTAAACGTACTTCGCCACCGTACGTAGCCGACCGAGACGCCGTAGTGAGATATTGTCTCCCTCGCCTGGTACGTCGGAGGTCGTGGGTTCGAGCTCGACCTTGACGCCTGCTGTATATTTGGAGTTTTTGCGTGTGTGTGTGTGTATATATAATTCCTTGTATATATTCACGCACACGAATCTGTGTGTATATCACTGCATTCATTGTAGTGGGGTAGTAATTATACGTGTGTCCACGAGTGTGTTTACTTGTTCGGCACCACGTCATATACTGTCACTACCCTGCTAAACCTTGGCCACTTGCAGCGCGTGACGACTTAATTTCAGCGACTCAATCGGCGGACACCGCCATGCGGAGCGCGGTGATTTTGTCGTGAGGAGCGGATTTTGGGGATTGACCTGCTCCGACCTTTGACCCCTCGATGCCAGGAGGTCGCGGTCGCGGAGCGGCTCGTGCGGCGGCCGCCGGTCGTACTCCAACTCCGGCTCGTCGTCGTCGGGATCCAGCTCCTCCTCGTCCTCACGCTCACGCTCGCCCCGAAGGTAACGCTCGCCCACACGGTAACGTCCCCACGGTAACGCTCACCCCCACGGTAACGATCGCCCCCACGGTAACGCTCGCCCCGAAGGTAACGCTCGCCCCGAAGGTAACGCCCCCACGGTAACGCTTACCCCCACGGTAACGGTCGCCCCCACGATAACACAGCTTGGTGTGACGCACGTACAGTAGTAAAACCTTGGACTGCAAGCATAATTCGTTCCGGAAACGTGTTTGTAATCCAAAGCACTCGTATATCAAAGCACTCGTATATCAAAGCACTCGTATCAAAGCACTGGTATATCAGTTGTGGTCACGTGACGTTCGGCAGACAAAGCGTATACACTATGTACTACTCGTATTGCAAGACCACGCTCGTTTATCAAATTAATATTTATTTTAAAAAATTGCTCGTCTTGCAAAACACTCGCTGACCAAGTTACTCGCAATCCAAGGTTTTACTGTCGTTGGATGTGCTCATCCTCCAAGCCTGCCCTGGTGGCATATACTGAATAAAAATATGTACTGAAGTGTCGATTTGTTGATTACAATTGGATCTTCAGCTCGGTACACTGAGCATTGTCTGCAATTGATATGCTGAAGATATTTATACTGGTATGAACGAAGTGGACCAGCCTACAATAGATTATATCGTCCGTCCGTTTGTCCGTCCGTCCGTGTAGCAACATCGCCCCCTACTGCAAACACTTGGCATGACCCTACAAAAACCTTTAGACTCAGTGACGCTTTCCTGGCTAAACAAGTGTAACATTCCCTTATAATTCCCTCAGATAGCTTTTAATTAAAACATTTAAATTAAAATTTAACTCACAGCGCCATAAAGCCTACAGCTAGGCCTAAAGCCTCAAACTACGCCTCAAACTCTCCCTTCGTATCGTACCCCCGCGTGTGTGCAAGGGAGTTAATGTTTAACAATGTTACATTCCCTGATGCTTTTAAATAGAAACATTTAAATTTAAAGCTTTTACATAAATAATAAAAACATTTAAATTTAAAATTAACTCACGGCGGCCTAAAGCCTACAGCTAGGCCTAAAGCCTAGAACTAGGCCTCAAACTCTCCCTTCGTATCGTCCGATTAGGTGTAGCAACATCGCCCCCTACTGCAAACACTTGGCAGGACCCTACAAAAAACCTTTAGACTCAGTGGGGCTTTCCTGGCTAAACAAGTGTAATAATACATTATGTTTATATTCTTTGGTTATTCGTTCCTACCAGCCCACCCCGCAGGGTCCTGTTAAATGTATGCTTAAGAAAAGGGAGTAAACTAATTTGTACATTTCGATTTAAAGCTTTCGTGACTGCGGGGATTCATCTTCTTGGTTCTTTCGGTAAAGTCACGTAGAAGGGAAATAATAAAGTAATAAAAATAAAACATAATCAATTAAAATTCTCACAACGTTTCGGCCACAACGCAAGCAGCCGTCCTCAGGTGAAGAAACAGAGCTGTCGGAAAGACAGCGCTCCAATGAACACTGCTAAGCTTGGCAGCGTATTTAAGCTGGGTGGGAGGAGCAGAGCGCCTTGACAAAGGAGTTTACATATCAACAGAGGAATTTAGCATAGAAGTAGCTATGATAATGTGAGATTAGCATGATGTTAAAGTGAGAAATTAGCATGTAAGCTAATCTGTACACTCGACGGAAAAACAAGCAACGTCAACAACGAGAAACGACACTAATAATCGTTGATTCCGTCGATGCCACGGCCTTGAGTCGTGACAAGCCATCGAATCGCTGGGGTGGGTGGTAGCGTTGGTGGTGAACCGTCGTGCCCATTCCACCTCCGCACACGTCACACTCCCGCCACGCCGGTCGTCGCAGCTTGACGGAACGTGCCGCGCTTCTCCCATTCCGCAGGCGACGGAGCTACAGTCGATCGCGCTCGAGGTCCCCGCGCTACCGCCGGAGGTCTCGCTCCGCCTCGCCGCGCGCCGCTGCCGCCTCCCCTCGCCGCCCGCGGGATCGCTCGGAGCGCTCCCGCAGCAAGACTCCTCCGTGCGTCGCTCGCTCACCTTGCACACCTGTGACCTAGTGACCCCCACGCGGCCGTGACCTCCTGTGGCTAGCTGTGACCTCCTGTGGCTAGCTGTAACCTCGTGACTCCCCGCGGCTGTGAGTTGGTGACCCTCCGTAGCCGTTACCCCGTGTGACCCCCCCTCCCGCATGCACGTGACCTGTGACCTCACGACCTCACGACCCTACTCAGACGTAGCTGCTCGCTCATGATCGCACACCTGTGACTCCCCGAGTACACGTGATACCTCGTGACCCTCTACACCTGTGACACCCTTGCCAACACACACTTGTGAATTAATGACCACGCACATCCGTGTTGCCCGTGCGCTCGTGATACCCACAATCCCCTCTAGCCGTAACGACAGAGCTGCCCTTGCTGTCCACTCTGCACGATGAGTCTCGGGGCAGCGTCGATGAGTTACCGGGGCAGCGTCGATGAGTTACCGGGGCAGTCCCCCGGGGCAGGTGGGGCAGCAGCACCCCGAGTCCCAGTGGGATCCAGAAGGCCAAGACGACGCCGACACACGCCAGTGACGTGAAAGCTGCGCTTGCTTGACGGTAGCGTGACGTGGCGCTGTGTGTGCCGCCCCCCCTCCCCCCCGCAGGTCGCAGGCGTCTGGATTGGGCGGTGGCCACGTGCATCCCGACCACCGGATCAACGAGGAGAACAAGGGGCGGCAACTCATGCTCAAGATGGGTGAGCGCCCGTCGCAACATCGTCACTTTATACGTATCCCAGCAGCCCGTGCGTCCCTTGGACCTTGACCGGTGAGCAAATATAGTATCATGAAAGCCAAGTATCAATCCGCTGCTGGATGAGGAGCCTCCTCTGAACTTTCCCATGCGAGTCGTTGGATGTTGAGCGACCGGGCGTGGCGCTGGCCACCCCCCCCCCTCGCGCGCCGTGCCGGCCACAGTAGCTGCTCGTTCATCATCACTTTGTTGAGGCTATACGGAGGGGGGGGGGGATCTTTGTTCTTGTGTGTCCGTGTGCGCGGCGCAGGCTGGAGCGGGGCCGGTGGCCTGGGCGCCAACGAGCAGGGCATCCAGGACCCCATAAAGGGCGGGGACATTCGGGACCGCTGGGACCAGTACAAGGGCGTAGGCATCCCCCTCGATGACCCCTTCGAGAGCTTCCGGCGCAGCAAGAGCAGCACTTTCATCGCGCGCATGAAGGCTCGCGTCGACGACCGTACGTAGCGGCGCGGGGCGGGAGGGAGGGGCGGGAGGGGCGGCTGCTGGGTTACCGGTCCGCGATCCGCGCTTCGATTAGAATTCAGCCTTACGCCCAGGACCCCCAAGCTTTGCGTAGTTTGTCTTGTGTTAGTGTCCGCGCTTCGATTCCTCCCCCCATGTTGAGCCAAGCAGCAACGACTTAGTTTCGTCTCGATCCACGGTGCATTTACCACCAACACGGTGCATGTCACAACACCCTCACCCACTCGCTCGCCCACACTCACCACACTGCAGGTCACAACACACTCACCCACTCACCCACGCTCACCACACTGCACGTCACAACACACTCACCCACGCTCACCACACTGCACGTCACAACACACTCACCCACGCTCACCACACTGCACGTCACAACACACTCACCTACTCACTCACCCACGCTCACCACACTGCAGGTCACAACACACTCACCCACTCACCCACGCTCACCACACTGCACGTCACAACACACTCACCCACGCTCACCACACTGCACGTCACAACACACTCACCTACTCACTCACCCACGCTCACCACACTGCAGGTCACAACACACTCACCCACTCGCTCACCCACGCTCACCACACTGCAGGTCACAACACACTCACCCACTCGCTCACCCACGCTCACCACACTGCACGTCACAACACACTCACCCACTCGCTCACCCATGCTCACCACACTGCAGGTCACAACACACTCACCCACTCGCTCACCCACGCTCACCACACTGCAGGTCACAACACACTCACCCACGCTCACCACACTGCAGGTCACAACACACTCACCTACTCACTCACCCACGCTCACCACACTGCAGGTCACAACACACTCACCCACTCGCTCACCCACGCTCACCACACTGCACGTCACAACACACTCACCCACTCGCTCACCCATGCTCACCACACTGCAGGTCACAACACACTCACCCACGCTCACCACACTGCAGGTCACAACACACTCACCTACTCACTCACCCACGCTCACCACACTGCACGTCACAACACACTCACCCACTCGCTCACCCATGCTCACCACACTGCAGGTCACAACACACTCACCCACTCGCTCACCCACGCTCACCACACTGCAGGTCACAACACACTCACCCACTCACCCACGCTCACCACACTGCAGGTCACAACACACTCACCCACTCGCTCACCCATGCTCACCACACTGCAGGTCACAACACACTCACCCACTCGCTCACCCACGCTCACCACACTGCACGTCACAACACACTCACCCACTCGCTCACCCACGCTCACCACACTGCAGGTCACAACACACTCACCCACTCGCTCACCCACGCTCACCACACTGCACGTCACAACACACTCACCCACTCGCTCACCCATGCTCACCACACTGCAGGTCACAACACACTCACCCACGCTCACCACACTGCAGGTCACAACACACTCACCTACTCACTCACCCACGCTCACCACACTGCACGTCACAACACACTCACCCACTCGCTCACCCACGCTCACCACACTGCAGGTCACAACACACTCACCCACTCACCCACGCTCACCACACTGCAGGTCACAACACACTCACCCACTCGCTCGCCCACGCTCACCACACTGCAGGTCACCTCGCTGATCTTTCTGCTTCTTACCCTGTACTACTCCACTTGAAAATTCGTTTCTCGGTATTCAGGAATCGTATCGACTCCGTTCTCCTGCAACTTTAATGGTGCCGCTTGTCGCTGACCACTTTGCGTTTTGGGATTTTGGGTCTGTGATCAGCAATCTTCCATTATTCACGTAACAATATATTTAGCTTTCATTTGTCGATCACCGAGGTGTTGGCGGTCATCCGCGCTGCGCGCGTAACGTTTATCTCTTGTGCCGTTGCAGCTACCGCCCCCCCTACTCCAACCACGGAAGCGGAGGTGAAGGAGTGAGGAGGTGGAGGAGTGAGGAGGTGGAGGAGTGAGGAGGTGGAACGCGTGGACATGGTCACGACACCACGGGCCTGTGCACGGGCAGCCCGACGGAGAATCGCACACACACTAACATCCCCCCATGAAGCCTTCTCAGACCGGGGCAAGTTCAGTTAGTACCGAATAAGGCCGGCACGGCACATGAGGTGGGCGGGTGGCCAATAACACGCCCGGCCGCATTTTGTCTCCCCGGTGCCGATCATTGTTAACACATTGCACCAGGTACTCATTTAAAGCTGAGTTGACCTAGGGGAGGACCAGCACCGGTTCATGTATCCGCCACTGATATTGGCCGTGAGCGGGAATCTAACGCGGGTTGCAGGTTTTGTTTGTGGAGTGCGCTAACCACTCCACTGCTGTTCCCCAAAACACAACCCACACACATCCACCACTACATGTCCACACACATTACACACACAAATCCAGACATAGTGACGAATCCACCAACACACACAGGTGCAACCACATATCTACCCACACGTACGCCCACCATTTCAACGACAGTTTTTTTTCGGGAGGCGGTGAGATTTTGTACAAAAATTAACGTCTCTGTGCATGAAATGTTCAGGGACGAGAATCCAACCCTCACCCTGGGCGAGCGGGGTTTGCCGAGTGATCGTTTCTGCCATTTGGAGCGCGCTGCGTCGTGTGTTGGCACGCATGGCGCCACGGTGGCTAGGAGATGTTAGCTACCTCGCCTGGTATACAGAAGTCTGTGGGTTCGATCCCGACCTTGACGCCTGCTGTATATTTGGAGTTTGGATTTTTTGTCACCCCTTGGCCGTGGGGATTTGTCTCCGGGTCCACCGGTTTTTTCCGCCCGCGTTCAGAATCGACATGCGTTGGGACTATGTGACCGCTGTAAATGTCCAGGAGATGAGCCGCTGCGTTGAGCTGTAATTTGTGATGGACGAGGTCGCTTCTGAAAAATAGCTCAGTGGGGCCTTACCTGGTAAAATAAAACAAATATTCGTACTTGACATTGTTTAGTTAAAAAGGCGCATTGGGTGGTACCAATTTTCGATGTGGCCCACGGCCTGGCTACTGCGTGCGTGCGTTTGTGCCCAGTGGGGTGGTTTGCGAGACGGAGGTGGGTTGTGGGGGTGCGCGTGGCCGTGAGACGGGGCGCGATGGGTCTTGTGCCGCGATGGAGCACCGGGTACCCACAACGCCTGCGGTTTTGTATTAAAGCATTGGGGTCGTTTCCCCGGGGGCTGCGTCTCTCATTCGGTGTGCGCACTCGCGCTGCGGGTGACGAGCGTGCTGGTCACTGTGAGGACAAGCTGGTCACTCTGTGAGGACAAGCTGGTCACTCTGTGAGGACAAGCTGGTCACTCTGTGAGGACAAGCTGGTCACTCTGTGAGGACAAGCTGGTCACTCTGTGAGGACAAGCTGGTCACTCTGTGAGGACAAGCGTGTCACTCTGTGAGGACAAGCGTGTCACTCTGTGAGGACAAGCGTGTCACTGTCGTCGTCGTGGGCACGGGATGAAGGCCCCCGCTCCCTGTCGCCATGTCTCCGTTCAGAGGACTGATTTTGTGTGTTTATTGTAACTTTTTAGTGTTGTAGTTTATTTTACTTATTGTGCTTTAGTTTTGTACTTTTAGTTTATTGTAACTTTTTGTGTGTTAGTTTATTGTACTTTAATTTTTTTAGTTTATCGTACCTTTTTGTGTGTTAGTTTATTGTCTGTACGCTGGCGTGGAAGAAGTCCCAACGCGCAGAGCTGCACAACTTCTCTTCGGCACGCGAGGTGATTGCGATCGCTCCGTCTCCCACGTGTGAGCGTCCCCTCTCTCTGCAGTGCATTCTCTCTCGTGGACGCCAGCACCGCGCTTCGCCAAGATGATGCCTTCTTGCGTTCGCTTCTCCGATGCACGTAGGTCACTGGTGGAGCCAGTGGGGGGTGGTAGTGCCCCCCCAATGATCCGATCGAAATCCCCCTCATTTAGATCGGATCATTGGGGTTTATTAGTAATCGGCATTTTGCGACCCGCACTGCCACTGTGTAGCATATTACTCCGTGCCAGGGACTGAAATGATAGCACAATAGTCTGAGTCCATAATTGGCAATAAGTAAGGGCAAAGCGGTTATAAGCGACTCACAGAATAGTGCGCAGTTGCGTGTCCAGCCCACGACTTCCCTGGAGGCGTCAGCAGCTGCAGCGAGCGCGATGCCGATCACACGACGCGGCTCCAATTCCACCCTCGGTCGATGGCCGCGCCATCGCCGCACACGCGTCGAATGAAAATCAAGCGACAAGTCGTCACTCACTAACAACTCCTCCATCATTCTCATTGCTGGAGGGCCCCCCCCCCACTACCTGAAAATCCTGGCTCCACCATTGCGCTTCTTTCGCACCGTACGTAGCTGACCTACTTGTTGGAGATGCGGGCGAGGGACAACAAACTCGACACAAAGTGAGTTCCGCAGAAACGAGTTCGTCCATCTGGATGATGATGATTTTAAAAGTTCTGTAGCTCCACTGGCTTCCGAATATCGGAAGGAAGAGCGTTCCAGACGGCCGCAGAGGCGCATGTGAAAGGGCCGAGAGATGCGGTGTCTGTGCGATGGCTGATCTGATACAAGCCTCTCTCTTCATAGGGGCCGTCCATAAATGACGTCACGCGATTTTGGACGATTTTTGACCCCCAACCCCCCTCGTCACACGGCGTCACAAAGTCAGACGCCCCCTCATATGACGTCACAAAGCTCTGCCCCCCCCCCCACAAAACCATATTTTCATTTTGAAAATAAAACACGCTTCAAATCGCTTTAAACTATTGTCATTGTAGTGCGTATTTAATGTGGCGCTGCACTCTGATGTTGTAGGAGATAACATTAAAGTACATTTAATTAAGTAGAACGTGTCTATATTTAAAGTTGCGCATTTTCATGTGACGTCACATTTATCACCCCCCCCCCTATGTGCGTGACGTCATTTATGGACGGCCCCATAGGGCTTTGTTTCGATGGAGCGCGGTGAAATATTTGAATGAAGGAATAAATCTGGGAATAGGGAAGAAGTCGGTAGAATATCGGAGCAGTTGGAGATAATCGAGTGAAGACACCGGAAATAATAAATCGATCGCATGTGCTCCTGAAGCAATGAGTAAAGTAATCGATGAGCCAATGACAGAATGGTGGCTACGGCTGCTTGCACGGCGATTTGCGGGGACGAAATCGGCCTCTGGCCTCACGTCCTGCTGCAGACGTCGCTTATCCGTGCTAGGAAATGTACCGCCGTCGCCTATCCGGGCCAGTAAATCTAACGAGGTGTCGCGGCCGCCGCGTATCCGCTCTACTAAATCCAATCGCGATGCTTATCCGCACTGGGAAATAAAACGCGCTTGTCGCGGCCGCCGCGTATCCGCTCCAGTAAATCCAATCGCGATGCTTATCCGCGCTGGGAAATAAAACGCGCTTGTCGCGGCCGCCGCGTATCCGCTCCAGTAAATCCAATCGCGATGCTTATCCGCGCTGGGAAATAAAACGCGCTTGTCGCGGCCGCCGCGTATCCGCTCCAGTAAATCCAATCGCGATGCTTATCCGCGCTGGGAAATAAAACGCGCTTGTCGCGGCCGCCGCGTATCCGCTCCAGTAAATCCAATCGCGATGCTTATCCGCGCTGGGAAATCTAACGCGCTTGTCGCGGCCGCCGCGTATCCGCTCTAGTAAATTCAATCGCTATGCTTATCCGCGCTGGGAAATGAAACGCGCTTGTCGCGGCCGCCGCTTATCCGCTCTAGTAAATCCAATCGCGATGCTTATCCGCGCTGGGAAATCAACTGCGTTGTCGTTGGGGGCCACGGCAGCCAATCTGCGCCGTCCGTGTGGCGGCAGCCGTCACGCGTTTGTGGTTGACGGCGGTGGTGGTGGTGGTTGTTGCTGCTGCTGCTGCTGGTGGTGGTGGTTGTAATTATTGTTGTGGTTCTCAGCCCGCAGTGTTACTGTCGGCGGCGGCGGCGGCGACGATGATGAAGGCCGCGCTGACTGTGTGGCTCACGGCGTCGTGGGCAATGGCCGAGGTCTTCTTCGAGGAGAGGTTCAGCGACGGCGGTGAGATCGCGTCACGCACTCGTCCGTCCGTCCATTCATTCATTCGGTCACCGATCGATTGTTATCAAACAGCTTCGTTCGCTCGTCGATTAACTCGCTGCCCTTTGTTCGCGTGCTGATCGAGGAGGCGGCGGCGTCGTTTTCCCGCCAATTAAATCCCCTCAGGTGCGATGTAACGGGCCCGAGCGAATCCCCTCACAATAACAATTATTATTGTTCTTATTGTTGCTATTCCTTAGCAGTTTACGTCGTCCTTCTACGTACGGGGAATCATAAATGTGATTGGTAAATTGTGTTGTTGTTTATTCCGATGTTTTCTCGCTATCTAACCCGGTTTAGTGAGGGGTTAGAGGCGCAGGCCTGCAAGTGCCGACTCACGCCCTGCTCTAAGAGAGTAATTGGCCTACTCTTCCACGCAGGTCCACGCGTCATTAAAATTTATCTTCGCAATTGTGAACGAGCGTGCTCGATCAATATGCGTATTGATTCACCTGCGATCGCCCACTGAGGCACAATATTAGAGTTGTATGATATAATAATAATGTCGTTTATAAATTGGGTAGTTTACACGAAGCATTTTAGGCCATTGGAGAAGATTTGGCCCGTGTTGTGTTTCTTATTGTACACTCAAATACAGCATAGTACCTGTACAGTGTATGGTAATTGGTTTTTTACCCTTTTATCTGGAAACAAAACTGACACCTTTTTTTACAAGGAGTCATGTTTGCATTGACCACAATACCTGCGGTCGGAATGCAAACAAAAAACACAACTCTGATAATGTGTGAACTGTCCTTGAAATTGATTGGTCCACACCCGAGACAGCTTTTCTTAGAGCCCAGTCTCACATGGTGTTGGACCAGATGACGCCAAAAGGTGCACAACTCAAAGACAATGCACCATCAGAGTACTGGCAAAGGAGGTTCCAATGGTGTAAATGCTTCACCCCGAGCTCTCATACTCTGATGGTGCATTGTCTTTGAGTTGTGCGCCTTTTGGCGTCATCTGATCCAACACCATGTGAGACTAGGCTCTAAGAAAAGCTGTCTCGGGTGTGGACCAATCAATTTCAAGGACAGTTCACACATTATCAGAGTTGTGGTTTTTGTTTGCATTCCGACCGCAGGTATTGTGGTCAATGCAAACATGACTCCTTGTAAAAAAGGTGTCAGTTTTGTTGCCAGAATTATCATATTTTGCTACTGGCAAAGGAGGTTCCAATGGTGTACAGTGTATTTTAATGCCACTATTATTTCGCTTGTTTATCCAGAAAAGCCCTCTCTTTTTTATCATTACACGCTGTTTTATTAACTCACTCACTCTGTTGTATCCTCAAATCTTGTAACTCAATTCTAACCCACTTCCTAATGTGGTATCGACTGCAAACTTGGTATACTTATGTCATACTGATGACAATACTATATTCTATCATTAAAAATAAAAAGATATATTTTTAAACATTTTTTTTTATATGTTATGTTTCGGCTTGGGTCTAATTGTCCTCGGTCCCCTTACGTTATGGCAAGCTTCGGGGCCACTTCCTGGAGTCGTGGAGTTCTTCCATTACTAGTACGGTACATTTCATTAAAGCGTGTTTTTTTTTTAGTTTTCTAAAATATCACTTATTATCAAGAGGCTCCTGCCAAAGCTCTCGCCGTGGGTGGGAATGATCGCTAAATGTACGCCACCGAGTCAAGAGTCTTTTCAACCTGTCGGAGTTTCCGTCTTTACTTGACCGTCGTGGTCGAGAATTACGGCGAGCGGCCCAGCCAACGGGATGCAAGTGACGACCGAGAGAGATCGAGCGAATTAAATGAGCTTTCGGTAAAGTTACGTAGGTAGAAAATAAAATATAACTACGTGACCTTACCGAGAGAACCAAAGAGTATGGATTCCTGCAGTCACGAAAGCTTCAAATCAAGATTCAATGAGCTTATGTGGGCAGGTGCTGCTGGGTGGATTGCAACGTCGCGAAACCATGAGAGAGCCTAGGGGAGGAGGCCTTTATCCAGCATTGTTATTGGCCACGCGCTGATGATGATGATGGTGATGTGGATGCGCGTGTGTGTGTGTGTTGCGCATGCAGAGGGATGGCAGTCCCGCTGGGTAGAGTCCCAACACAAGTCCGACTATGGAAAAATGAGGCTCTCAGCCGGTGCCTTCTATGGCGACGCAGAGAGAGACAAAGGTTTGAGTGCTGCATGGGGCCTGGTCGTCACGTTCATCGCCATCGTCACATCATCGCCACCATCGTTGCCATGTTCATCATCGGCATTACCGTCGTCATCACAAATAAAGACAAGCTGAACGTGAGGCGGTAAAAACAACACCGAAAGAATACATTCTTGAATCGAACTACGACCCTCAATATGTCGTGAGTCGTAACTCGCCGCGCATGCGCCGCCCTTGCAGGCCTGCAGACGAGCCAGGACGTGCGCTTCTACGCCGTCTCCGCCGCGTTCCCGCCCTTCAGCAACAAGGGCCGCACGCTCGTGCTGCAGTTCAGCGTCAAGCACGAGCAGGACATCGACTGCGGCGGCGGCTACGTCAAGCTTTTTCCCCGCAGACCTCGACCAGCAGGACATGCACGGCGACTCGCGATACTACCTCATGTTCGGTGAGGACGCTGGTGGCCCGGCGGATTTCTTATTTGGAGAAAATGTAACGGATCTCTGGGTTTCCATTGAAAAAAATAAGTTGCGGAACGTAAACGAGCGTATTATTCGAATGAAAATTGCCCTGTCCTTATTTAAGATAGCGATTCTGAAACTCACTACACACACCATCGAAGGCTCAATTATGATCTCTGAACATATGTAAGAAAATTAATATGTTTCGAAGGTAACGAGACTAAAAATAAAGAATAAGGCAGACGGTACAAACGAGACAAAACAATTCGATCTTGGCGTCAAACCGAAAATATATTCTGTTGCTTTGTTCGAGTTCATGTGTTATTGAGTTGACGTGTGATTGTTTCATTTCTATAACTGCATAACTTCCTCTGTAATTTTCCACCATTGCCAACCTCAGCATGGGCTGGACACCAGCTTCATAGCGCATCGGGTCTTTCATCTTAAATGTTACATCTGTGCCAATGAATCATCATCGAATTGACGGTGAATCCTTCCGTGCCTGGTGAAAACCTTGCGAGCAGCCGCATCATTCTACGGGCACGCCACAAGCCTAAACGAAACGACGATTCGTGACCCCGAATAGTTACAAAGATCCATCGGATCGTTGCAGCGGATGAGTCGCAGCAAGCGCGGCGCTCGCTAAAGTGTGATGCCGTTGTTTGTCTCGTCGCCAAAGGCCCGGACATCTGTGGGCCGGGCACGAAGAAGGTGCACGTGATCATCAACTACAAGGGCAAGAACCACCTCATCAACAAGGACATCCGCTGCAGGGTGAGCAGACCCTAATGGACACCGCTGCATGTCGGCAATGGCTCGGTTTCCATTACAAGGGCTGATCCGGCAAAATTCATCCGGATGAACAAATAAGCTCGTCCTCTGACTATATCATCCGGAAGCTCAATGGAGTCGAGGCCAGATAGCACGTTGGTCGATAACCGCCATGCTGGAAAGGTTTTGTATCAGAGGGCAGTTTAGCAGAACTTGTTGTTGTACTGTACGTTGCTCCTGCGTCTATGCTCCCAGCGTGCACCAAACTGCACTGACCAGCGTGGTGAACGATAGACGAATCGCTCCCTACGATGGGCACCATATGGGGATTGACAAAAGAACTGTACGTGCCAGTCAAGTTAACTTTACATTTAGGCAAATTAAAAGCACAAAACCGTGCAAATGAGACCAAAATAGGTGTTGAGAAACAAAACCAACGAGAATTGATTCCTTAATTGATCGCGACGGTGAATTGTGTCGTTGTTTGCGTACACGGACGCTGCATTTGCTCGCCGGCGCACGCTTCAACGTACCACGCGGCGCGTGCGCGTGACGTCGCGTTCACTGACCCCGCGCGCGCTTGTGCCTGTGTGTGGGGGGGGGCGGCGCACGCAGGACGACGAGTTCACGCACCTCTACACGCTGGTCCTGCGGCCGGACCAGACGTACGAGGTGAAGATCGACGGCGATCGCGTGGAGTCGGGCAGCCTCGAGGACGACTGGGCCGTGCTGCCCCCACGGAGGGTCGAGGACCCGCGGCCGTGCGCCCCGACGACTGGGATTGAGCGGCCCTCCATTGACGACCCCCACGACACCAAGCCCGAGGTCGCTCACCCAGGAGCGGCATCACCCCCCCCTCCTACCAATCTCCTCCCGCTCCCTGCCGTGTCTCCACGTGTCTCTCTGCCTCCTGTGTCCTGCAGTCCACTCTTGTGTCTACCCATCTCAATGAACATCTCCCATCCCCTGCTGTGTTCTTCTCTCTTCTTGTTTGTATCTCCTCCTGTTACCTCCCATCTCCCGTCTTCCCTCTCGCGGCATTTAACTAATTTGTTCTTCTGCCCCCGATCTTTTGCAGGATTGGGACCAGCCGGAGCACATCCCTGACCCCGACGCCAAGAAGCCGGACGATTGGGACGACGAAATGGACGGGGAGTGGGAACCGCCCATGGTGGAGAACCCCGACTTTAGGTGTGCGCATCATCCACCGCCACCTTCACCACAACTGCTACCACCACTACCATCACCACCACCACTTTCACCATTGCCCGCCATTACCACCACTGCTACCATTAATACCACCATGGTGTGATGTCGTTAGGGTGCGTACGGTGCGGTGTGAGTGGTGTGATTTGCGTGGCGGTGCGCTGGTGCGAGTGGCCTGGCACGAATGGCGTGTTGCAGCGTGGTGCGTGCCACCGGTGCTTAGCCGACGGTCCGACTGCCCCGTTTCGCAGAGCGAGTGGAAACCCAAGCAGATCAGCAACCCGGACTACAAGGGCACGTGGGTCCACCCCAAGTCCGACAACCCGGACTTCGCGTCCGACCCCAACATTTACTATTTTGACAACACGGGGTGCTGGGTCTCGACCTCTGGCAGGTGAGACCAATACCGCCCCCCCCCCCCACGTCCGCACGCGCAACCGTTAGCGCTACGCTGCCGCTACGAACCCGGCGAGCCCAGGTCAATTTCCGCTCACGACCACCACCGGTGGCGATTATCTGCACCGGTCATGGGCCTCCCCTAGGTCAACTCGGCCTCAGATGAGTGCCCGGTGCGGTGTGTGAATGTCGCTACTGGAGAGACAAAGGCGGCTGGGCGTGGTGTTGGCCACCCACCCCTCGTGTGCCGAGCTTGCTAACAGCACTTGCCCCAACAGTCTGTTAAGGCTATATGGGGGATCTTTTACTGGTTGGAACCTCCTGGTTACACCAGCCCACAGGGGATTATTGTGTCCGTCGTGCATGGGAGGGGTGGGGCTGGGTGGAGAGGGAGGGTGGGGAGGGGCTGGGTGGGGCGGGGAGGGGAGGGGGAGAGTGGGGCTGGGTGGGGGGAGGGGTGGGGCTGGGTGGGAGGGGCTGGTTACCCCGTGGTGCCCTTATAAAACTCAACGTTTAACCTACTCACGACCGGCTTGTACCCGCCCTCACAGTTGCGGAATACACCACGCCGCCGTTGACCCTGGCCATTGACCGAGCAAACCAACGTTCCTACCAGCTCCCTCCGCAGGAATGTGTTACACGTGTGTGTGTGTGTGTGCGTGTACACGGCGACCGTGCAGGTGAAGTCGGGCACGATATTCGACAACTTCCTCGTCACCGACGAGAGGAATACCGGAGGAG